AAAAAAAAAAAAAAAAGAATGTTAATAGGAAAGAAGAGCCATCCGTTCCAGTCCTATGTACAAGCAGAATATGAAAGTACAAAAGCTAGAGTTTTAAATGTGAGAATTTTACACTGACACATGGCGCACAACTCATCTTGTTTAATTCCATCGGTCTACAAAAAGCAGTGACTACAATCAATTCATAGAGTATAGAACTCATTACTGAACCAAAAAAAATATTAAATAATGCATCTATGAAACGTTTAAATGGCAAGCATCTTAGTGGTTTGTTAAATTATAACATCCAGGATGCTTCAGTTTTGAGCACTGTGTTGTGTGCCAGATAAAAGTTTTCTCTCCGATTTTATTGCGAGCAGGATTCCTCTGGGAAACAGTGCAATGAAACAGAATAACTGTAATACAGGTTCGCTCCAACATGAAAATTAATATTGAGTTGATGGCTTAGTAATTCAAAACCATTTGTCCATTATTAAGTTTGTTTCTAGCCTTTAGAATTGGTGCATTTGTTAAGGATACATCAGACTCCAGTAGGTCAACCTGAAAGTTCTGTTTGCAACTTCACATGGCTTTGGCGATGACAAAATATCCCTATGGCATCTTCATGCAGAGCACACTTTTCAACTTTTAGGTTGCAATTACCTAACCTTACTTAATCTGAAAGAAAATTCTCAGTGTTAGAGAACAAAGATAACACGTTAAGAATATATAAGTACTATTTTAGTGCTTTCCCTGCAGGTATTTTACATGATGAAGAGCAGCTGCACCATTCGGTCTTACCCTTTGTTATGTCAAGTAATTTATACGACTTATGATCCCCGTCTTATTTATTTTCATTTTATGGCACCCTTAGGGCTCCCTCTCTTCTCAACCTATTCCACAACTTTCGTTACCCATCACTGTCAATAGGGATATACCTGAAATGCCTGGACTTCTATCACAAAAGTTCCCTGTACCTGGTGTGAAATAAAGAATAGCTTAATAGAGGACTTCAAATACAGATGCTTAAATCAGCTATAATTACTTCACTACTTTGAAGGGACAGAGTAAAAGATAGGTATTTTATTTTTAATTTTTTAAAAATGTTTTATTTATTTTTGACTGAGAGAGAGAGACAGAGCATGAGCGGGGGAGGCACAGAGAGAGACAGAGACACAGAATGTGAAGCAGGCTCCAGGCTCTGAGCTGTCAGCACAGAGCCCGACGCGGGGCTCGAACTCACAGATCGAGAGATCATGACCTGAGCTGAAGTCGGACGCTCAACCGACTGAGCCACCCAGGCGCCCCAAAGATAGGTATTTTAAATGAATGTATTTGCCTGTAGGAACAAGAAATGAGTAAGGCCTGTGCAGCCAAAATATCCTGTCCTGTGTTATACTACAGGATATGGCAGGGCTATCCGGGAAGGAAGAAACCCCATGGAGAATTACACATGGCATACTATGATTTTGAAATGATTTTGCCAACGCTGCGATCACTTCCACAGATGTCAGTGTAACAACACGGACAAAAACTTGTCATGACAGTGTGGATAGGTTGCAGACCTTCCTCAGAAACCTGGGAATCTGGATATGGCATTCTGCTGCATATGACACCTCCCCCAGGACACCCGCTGTATTCTCTCGCAAGGCTCTGCACCCGATGAGGGGCACGAACAAAGCCACAGGAGCTACCCTAAAATTCCTAACGGATGAGAGCATGTTAGGAACATGGCAGCATTGAGGAATCGGGCAAAAATGCTGGAAGTTTGTTTCGTTCCGCCTTAAAGGAAGGCCGCTTGGTGCAAGAAGGATGCAGCAATCCCCTAAATGGTGGCATCATTACTGTTTTACGACTACAAAGCCACGTTGCCAGGGATGGCTTTTCGATCAGGCCATGTTTAGAAGTGGGAATACTTACTGTCTGTAGCTGACCAGAACTACCAAGATGGCAGGGATACAGCAGAGGATGATGATGAAGGCGAGTGCAAGCAGGGCCCCCTCTGTATAGCCTAGGCTCTCTCCTCGCTTTTTAATGCTGGTCACTGCCTCCGGGGTCCGGATCTCCAGAATACGTCCTCCTTCGCCGTAATACGGCTGAAAGTCTTTATTGATATCAAGCAGTTTGCCATCCAAAAATCTGATTGTCAGATAAATAGTAAAATCAATGATGTTAACAGAAAAGATAATTTTGTAATATCTTTTAAAAATTTCTTTAATTGAAACACAAGCTGAATCAGTGTTAGGAATAAAAAATATACAAAAAGCAAGAACAATGAGGAACTGTAACTACACAGCTATATACACATATCAAAGATATTAATAACGATGACCCTTACTTCATATGCTCACAGACTTGAGAAAAGTAATTATCAACCTCAGTGAGCTTACTATCACTATGTTGAAATTACTGACATTATTCAGCTATTCAGGTGAAAAAATATTCTGAGTTACATATAGCATAGTTTATAATTATATTCCTGCATTTTGTCTGCCTGGGTCCTCAGAATAATCCTATAGAACAGAACATCTTAGTACTAATTCACCGTAGGCCGTATAGCTACACAGTTACGGCAATGAATCTGAGACACCAAGTCTTCGGTCTCCAACATCTACATTTGTCTTGTATGTCGACCTTCTCAAATCCCAAATCAAAAAGCTTTTTATGGGCAAAAGGTGAACAAATTGAAAGGTGTTTCCTGCCTAGAGAGAGAGACTATAGGAATGATGCAGACAGCAAATCAGCCAGGATGACAAGAATTGGCCAACTGAAGCCAACAGTTCTTGCAAACCCTTCCTATGAGTAATACAGCTCCAGCTACGGCCATTCCATTGGGGTGGAAGGGACAATCAAGGGATAAGTGTTACTTAATTTTATTGGATTGAACGATTTTGTTTTGTATTTTATGTTGTAATTACCAGATAATAGTTTTTTTATTTTTTTCAAAATTCTTTGGGAACATTTGCATAATCCCTTATAAATCCCACAATATTAATGTAACAATTGTGTTCCTAACACCACAAAGCCATACCAGGTCCTGGGTATTTTCATTTTTGTATTTTTAAAGACGTTTATCCATAAAGGTCAGATATCTTACTATAGAAAGTTGGAAAACACAAAACATTTCCAAAAGCAAAATCAGGCACAGGCCCACAATGCAAACGCTGCTCACAATTTGGTATATCCAGATCTAATTTCTTTCTATAAACATTTTTATTTTTTTAAGTTTATTTACTTCTTGAGAGAGAGGGAGTGCATAAGCAGGGGAGGGGCAAAGAGAGAGAGAATCCCAAGCAGGCTCCACACTGTCAGCACAGAGCCGGACGTGGGGCTTGACCTCATGACCCTGAGATCACAACCGGAGCCAAAATCAACCTGAGTTGGAAGCTTAACTGACCGAGCCACCCAGGCACCCCAAGAAATATTGTTATATACTCATATACTTATGTTTTATATACTCATGTTTATATACTTATGTTTTATATACTTATGTTTTATATACTCATATACTTATGTTCAAAATGTAGAAAACATACAGAAATGGAAAAGAAAAAAATAAAAACGGCCCCAAATTTCACCATCAGATGGTAACAAAGTATGTCACGATTGTGCATTTTACAGTCTATTTTTATCCCTTTGACACTTTTGATTTTAATTTTCCGGGTAATCATTCAGACCTTATATCTAGTGCACAGCGTTTATACCTTCCCTATGGAAAAAATAGATGCCTGATGTCAGATGTGAATTCCACTGGGTAGTTTATTAGTCTTCCCATTTAAGAAAACCAATGGCCCAGATAACTCAAGCTTAGTTTTAAAGCTGCACGTTTTTATTCAAGTTTCCATCCTGTAACACAAGACAGATAAGCTTTTGTAGATATAAAATATACTTTTATAGCAATTTTCCTAGGTGATTTTTAGGCATGTTAAAAAAGATATAATAAAGGTTTAACCGTTGTTCTAAGTGCTAGAATAGAATGGTACATTATGTTTTTTGAATTGTTTACCAGATAAAGTAAGAAGTTCCAGATAAAGTGCAGATTAAGAGTTAAGTTACAAGAAAACATTAGAAACTGGGAAGTATCAGAAGTAGAGAAAGATCGTTAGTTTCAGGAAGATTTCACCTATATCATGTGGGATCCACTAGACAGACCACACTTCTACTGGGTTCCTGAAATTAACATTGCAATAACCTGAGGGAAGATTTTTTAGTTTTTTTATACTACAAGAGCTCTGTTATTTAGATATTTATTTTGGTTTATTTTCCAACTTAGGTAAATGTCATAATTGTTTACTAGAAGAGTTGATTGCTTTTGAACCTGTACCTAGTCTAAAATATCTTTCTTTTTGCTTTCTACATGCAAAACAGTTTGCCTAGGTAAAAATACATGAATCATAACATTTTTTTCCTCAAACGATGGTGGATTTGATTCCATTAGCTTTTGGCATTTTATCATGCATATGGCATGTGGAAGGCTTATCTAATTTTTGTGCCTTTGTGATTAAGTCACTTTTATTTTTGTTTCAATGGTTTTAAAACATATTCTGATACTTTTTAGTGACTCATGATGACATGTGCATTGATTTTTTCTGGTAAAGTAATGAAGTCTTTTAATTACTTTTTTAGCTCTTTATTGCTGTGATAACTAGTACAATATTTTACCTCAGAGATACTATTTTCAGATTGTAGCTCAATTGTCCTCTAAATATATTTTGATCTCTTTTATAATTTATCTTTTCTTTTCCTTAATATGCTTTTTTAAAAAGTGCTAATCTCAGGATGGTAGAGCATTCTTTTCTTATGTTTGTTTGTTTAGAGAAAGAGAGAGAGCAGGAGGGTGCAGAGAGATAGGGAGAGAGAGAGCATGGGAGGGGAAGAGAGAGAGAGAGAGAGGGAGAGAGAGAATCTCACAGGCTCTGTGCTGTCAGTGCAGAGCCCAGTATGGGGCTCAGACTCACAAACTGTGAGATCATGACCTGAGCTGAAATCAAGAGTCAGACCCTCAACTGACTGAGCCACCCCTGGGGCTTTGTTTTATACTCTTTCTGATGTCAGGACAAAGCCAGCTTCCATGCCAATCCTAGAAGAAGGACTCTAACTGGCCTCCCCTGGACTGTGTGCTGACCATACCCCATCGGTGTGAGCTCAGGAACCGCATCCTGAGGGGGGGCACGTCCAAGCGCACCACGGTGGTGGACAGTCAGTTCTCACTCCTCCCCCGTGGGCTTCTTTCACCAGAAACAGGGAAGGATTCAAGGCCTGTGCAACACGCATACCATTTCACTGTCCCATAAGGTCCTGCTTTCTATTAAAAATGTTCCATTGTTTGCCAGTGGTTTCCATACGAGAATCTTTGCAGAGTTAAACTCTACATTTGAGTCATCGGACGTTATTTCTTTTATTTTGTTTTCCAGTATTTATTACTGATTCCTATTTTGCCTGCCGCTTCCTTATCTTAGAGAGGAGATGTATCTGTCAGCTCTGCCCTGTTTTCCTGAGATGAGATCAATTCGTAAACCAATCCCATGTCTTCCGGGTCACTCTGCTGACGGGGCATGTGCAGGCATGCCCCCACCTCTGTTGGCGCCTGTGGTGGGATTCGGCCATCAAAGTATGGTGTGGAACCACTGGTCTACCTTGCATTTTACCTTCGTGGAAAGGGTATTGCGATGCACACATAAATGCAGAAACAAAGGGGACGCTGAACAGCACACACTCTGAACTTCACAAAACCTCAAACCTAAATGGTGGAGGGGCGGATACCTCTTTCCCTGGTGGGTACACAGTCTGGGTCTCTGAACCAGGTATGCAGACTGAGTGATGCTTAACACATATGCCCACACCCATTCCACTTGGATAAGGTTGTCTGGCTGAATAAAGCAAACCATGGGTAGACCGCTATTTCCTTTATACAGTTCCAAATTATGGACTAACTTGTATTCCTTCATATTTTATAGTAAGCTAGAGTCTGATAATTGTTTTTCCATTATTTAAATTTTCAGTGTTCTTAATTTTTATGTTGTTTTCCCTGGTCTTAGGAATTTGGAAGAAGCTTTAGAGTTTGGTAGCCAGATTCTATTTTAAAGTATAAATGTGATTTTTGTACACTATATTTTATTTACTTTTATTTTTTAAGGTTATTTATTTATTTTGAAAGAGAAAGAGAGTGTGTGTGAGTGGGGAAGGGGCAGAGAAAGAGAGAGGGAGAGAGAGAATTCCAAGCAGGCTCTGCAGTGTCAGCACAGAGCCCAACGTGGGGCTCAAATTCATAAACTGTGAGATCATGACCCGAGCTCAAACCAAGCAAGAGTCAGACACTCAACCAACTGCCACAGAAGTGCCCCTATACACTATATTTTAAATTTAGTTTGTAGAGTATTCAGGGTTTTTCTACCTTCTTCTGCATTTCTCATTTACCATCTGGGCAGACTAATGTTAAAACAGGCTGGCTGTATAAAAAGGGGCATGAGCTAAAATTGTATTTGCTTTTATAAACAAATATTTAATTAAGTTCTATTTTAAAATAATATGGCCTGTTTCTGCCAAGGATGCCAAAAGCTGTAAGAGAATGTGACTCCCACCCTCATGACAAAAAGCCAGGTGATACTAAAACCATAACAAATTCCAAAGAGTGACAATTTCCTCCACAGGGAGATGGGACGATTATTTCACCCTTTGCAGAACACAGAAAAGGAAGCTGCCAAAAGAACAAATAAAATAAATGGGCTAAAATGTTAATGAATTTTTAGAAGCGATGTACGTACCAACATGTGAGGCTAGAGACCCTTGAACACAAGCGGGGCCTACCTTGAACTCACTTGCAGACTATTTATTTCCAAGGACCTCTGTCAGATAAACTGGGACAAGGCCGGAGACAGGAGAGAGATCCCCGTCCTGTGCGGGGACAGAGGAAGCACTCGGCTAAGGCTGGATACGCACAGTTCTCCAGACCCCTATCTCATGCAAAGCAAGAGCCTTAAGCCACAGAAAGAGGGGAGGAAGTATTCCAATCCCTAGGGCTCAAGCTAAGGACCGCTACTTCTGGGGAAGAGGTATAAGCAAAAATACCATCTCCCAGGGTGAGGAACAGGAGCTCTCTTGGGCACAGAGAGGTCGCCTACTGGTTGGGAGAGGCAGGG